TCCATAACGACCTAATTGTAATTTATGACATTGTAGTACTAGATTATTCTCAAAATGTAAAATAAGAAAGACTGAATTGTATGTTGAGTCATTATTGCACTAGATTTAGAAATATTTGAAGTAATTATGTCATTTCTGTTTTCTAAATACAATAAATATTTTTACCTACTTGACTTTTTAACTAACTTTCAATCAGGCCTGGCACGCTCTTCACTTTAGTACAAAACTGCAAGTACATATTGCCCTAAAAAGAGTAGATCCGCTTCATCCACGTACTTGTAAAACCATAATAATTAATTAATTAATAACCTTCTAAGTGCGCTTGACTATTATTATATTTTTTAATTGGCTTCCTAATCAAATTTAATTTTGATAAGTACTTACTTATTGTTGTCTCTATTTTAGATAATTCTATGATGAATGCAAATATAAACTACAGTAGAATGGCAAGTAATCGTAATAAAAAAATTAGTTGAAAAGGCCATTAAAGGGCAAGTCGCTGCTCTTTTCGCAATGCAACAATTTTTACATATCGAGACAAAGAAAATCTACACAGAGGAAAATAATTATTCACATCTACCTTCATTAACTCTCGACAGCAATAAAAAGTGCGAAGAAGATATTGCACAAGTTGATAGTATTGAACTTGAAACTCATAGCTCTGTAGCTGCGGTTGAGCAAGAAAATCTGGTTGGTAATTCTCTGTCTTCGGTTGATAATCAATTACGTGAGTATGAATCAATTCGTATAATAAAATCAAATTAATTTTACTGATTATATTATAGACACTTAGTGCACTTAAATCTTGTTAAAAGGCCCGGTATCACCTACTTTAGAACCAAATGGAACACTAAATAATTCTTTTACAGCCAATATACTTAGTGATAACAACAAAGCTGAATGTGATAATGTTAAAGAATCTGACTGAAACTGATAGCATCCCTTGGGCATCTGTTATTCCTACCTGTAAATAACGGAAGTACATTGGATTGCTAATTATCGCTATTACAGATTTATTGATTACTGAACTCATTACAGATTTATTTACCTATTTTAATTTAATTTTTACGGCATGTTTAAAAATTTCACTACTGATAAATTTATTTATTACGAAGGAACTAGAAGAAGAGTCCAAAAAAGATAGTAGTAAGCAACATAAAAGAAAAGCTACAGAAAGTCAATCAAGCATTGATACACAGAACCAAATTTTATTATTGCCGTTCAAAATTATGACAGTACGAGTAAGTGTGCTAATATTTATTAGGTATTTTTATGTTTTTATTTTACTACCAAATTATAAAAAGAAAGGCATCTAATTAATAATTAATTTCAGATATTAATCGTCATAAAGAGTTGTGTTTGTTACCAGTTCCAACTTGCACTAAGAAAATATTCGTTAAAAGCCTAACGACACTGTGTTCGGAAGTATTGGCTTTTGGAGGAGAGATTTTAGCTATGAAAACCTTCAAATATTTAAAAGATGTATTGATAATCTAAGTTTCCAGGATATATTTAATTCTTCGGATCCTAATACATCTTATGATGGTTTTTTGACATATTCAAATGCTTTTATGATCTATGTTTCCCCTATAAAATTATAAAAAATACTCTAAATTCCAAGCAAAAATGGATATCAAAGGGATGTTGTAAAAAAAGCGAGACTTACTTTGGCATTTAGAAGAAAAAAAAGCAAAGATGCTCTATCACTATTAAAAGAATATTCATCAAAATTAAGGAAAATAATAAAAAACACACAACGTTCACAAAATGACAACTACATAAATAAGTCAAAAAATAAAATGAAAGCAACTTGGTCCGTTATATATAAATCCAAAACCAATATTCCCAAAGAACCAATACAGAAGCTAAGAGTAGGTAATGAATATCTTACTAACCCTATTGACATCACTAATGCGTTTAATGATTTTTTTATTGATGACATGGAAACTGAAAATTGTACTATTAATACTGACATTTCTTCAAATAATAACAATAACAATTCTAACAATTCTAAGAATAATTGTAATAATAATGTAAATTTAAGTCATTTATCTCATTTTAACAATAATTACAAATCTCTATTTTTAAGACCGACAACACCTGACTCAGTGTGTAAAATTATAAATAGTCTAAAAAATACTAATAGTGTTGGTTTTGACGACGTTTCTACAAAAGTAATAAAACATGTTAGCTCTACAATAGCAAGACCTTTGAGTCATATTATTAATTTAAGCTTTACTGCAGGTATATTTCCAAACAATTTGAAACCAGCTGTAGTAAAGCCATTATTTAAAAAAGGGGTAAACATATTGCCAATAATTATCGTCCAATTGCACTGCTATCAATTTTCTCAAAAATATTTGGAAAAATTATTCATGGCCAGCTTTACGAATTTTTGGAAAAACATAATATTTTAAACAAAGAGCAAAAAGGATTTCGCACAAATACTGCAATCGCAACAGCAATATACGACTTAGTAAAAAGGGCAGTGATTTGTCTAGATAAAAGGATCCCATCATGTGCAATTTATATGGACATGACGAAAGCATTTGACCTTGTAGATCATAATATATTGCTGGAAAAACTAATCCGTTATGGTGTAAGAGGTAATGCACTCAATTTAATAAAATCCTATTTAACAGATAGGACACAAAAAACCGTAATCAGTCAGATCTGTATCTCTACAAGACAAGAAAAAATATATACGTCTAATAATAGAACGATAAAGCGTGGCGTTCCACAGGGAAGTGTTTTGGGTCCTTTGCTCTTTATAATATATCAATGATATCGTCGAGTCTCGTAAATACCCAATGATACTATTTGCAGACGATAGCACTATTTTTGTACAGTGTGACAGTGTAGCAGAATATCAAAATAATATTAAACTTGCTATTGAAAACATTATTAAGTGGTTAAAATCAAATAATCTCAAAGTTAATCTAGAAAAAGCAAAAATTATGCAATTTACACAAAGAAAAAGTACTCCAAATCTAATAATAAATTATGGAAATAAAACAATTTCTGAAACAAAAGTTGCGAAATTCCTAGGGCTGTTTATAGATAGCAACATGTCATGGGAATCGCATTCAATAGAAGTCTGCAAAAGAATGTATTAATTTTCATTTGCACTATATAAACTGTCGAAAATAGCTGACCGAAAAACTGTTCTAACAGCGTACCATGGCTTTGTGGCTTCGGCCCTGCGATATGGTATCATATTTTGGGGACTATCAACATACAGGGAATTAATTATGAAAGCTCAAAAACAATGTATTCGAGCTATATGTGGGATAAAGTCTACAGAAAGTTGCATACCATACTTTAGATCTCTTAAGATATTAACATTACCCTGTATTTATATGTATACTAGAATCGTGTATGTTTGTAAAGTGTAATCCGAAACTTTTTAATATAGGAGTACAACCAACTTTAGTTAACCTTCGCCCTCGAAAACAAAAAATCCAGACGAATGTATGCAAAACTGCCCTTATGAAAAAAAGTGTTGTTGAAATGGCCCCTAAATTATATAATAAATTACCTGATCACATAAAATGTTATAATGTGCAAAAATTTAAATCTATTTTAAGTAAATTTCTTATAGATAAATGTTATTATAATGTCAATGACTTTCTATTCACTAATAATTTAAATATGTAATGTAATAATTTTATTTTGAATCCACTTAATTTTATTACTTTGATCTGTTTTTTTTATATATTTAATTTTATGATGTATGGATATATAAATTCGTATGCTGTTGAAGCATTTCACGGAGGTACTATTAAATTATAGCATTGTCAACCTTGTTACCTGTGAAAACGAATAAAATGATTGATTGATTGATTACCAAACATAATACTTATGGTAAAATTTAAGAATGCTCTGATAAGGAAGTCGCCTTTGAAGCCGAAGATATTTCTCAAGAAAACGACCCATTTGCTGGAACTGACAGTGAAGATGAGTTTGCACCCCCAAAAAAGATCAAACGTGGGCACTTTTTGTCCAATTCCTCAACATCAATTTCTTTGTCTAGCTCTTCTTCCAGCTCATTGTCTGACTATTCATACAGCTCGTCGTGTAGTTCATCTTCTAGTTCTACAAACTCTTCTTTGTAGAAACCTACCAAAAAAGGCAAAAAAAGTACGAAATGTTGATAAATGGAAGAAAAGTAAATAGAAGCTCTTAAAAATTCTGGAAAAGAGTATGTTTCTCAAACTGGGAAACTAGTAAAAGCTAAAGAAATGAAACCTCCCTGCTCAAATAAATGCCGATTAAGTTGCTCGACGAAATTAACGACAGAGATGAGGCAAAAATTGTTCGACAATTTCTGGGGACTTTGTATTTATTTTTCTATTAGTATTTGTTCATTTCAGAGGCAACGAGATTATTTGTCAACGTGTGTAGCAGCTCTAAATATTTCTGTGCGTCACTTGAAAATAATGCTATAAAAGAAAGACGACCAAATTTTTGTTTTACATTTTTCGTAGAAGGTAAACCTATAAGAGTGTGCAAAACCTTCTTGTTAAACACGTTGGGAATATGTAAAAGCATGTGACGAACGATTATTCAAGCAAAATGCATTGGTACTGGTGTAGTTCCAATTGATCATCGTGAAAAGAATTCAAAGACCAATTTAGACCGAGACGTCGCCCAATCCGTACGTGAGTATATAAATGCAATTCCACGAGTTGAAAGACACTATATTAGGGTATTAGCCCTAATATATAATCTAGTATAATCTAATAGGCTTTCGACTCGCGGCCACTATATGGATGGATGGTGATCTTACTACTGCTGAAATGTATACACACTATAAACAGGAAAGAGAATCCACCCAAAGTATTGCTGCAAAATATGAGTTTTATGCACAATTATTTAATACGGAGTTTAACATTTCTTTTTTCACATCTAAAAAGGATCAATGCGACCTGTGTCAATCGTATAAAAATGCTTTAGATGAAGAAAAAGAGGCTTTATTTATTTATTTTACAAATTCATACTTGCGATGATTTTTTGACTCACAAGTTTCTTGTGCGTGGGCACACACAGAACGAGGGTGATAATGCCCATTCCCTAATCGAAAAAGCTATTAAAAGTGCTAAAAAATCTGGCCCTATCTATGTGCCATGCCAGTATGTTCAACTTATACGGAATGCCAAAAAATCCGGAAAGGCCTTCATAGTTCAAGAACTAAATTACGATGACTTCATAGATCTGAAAGCATTGTGTGAGAAAATAGGGATGAATATTTTAAAAGGAATTGACGGAAATGCTTTAAACTTACAGAAATCAGAATGATCCGTTTTTCTAAGAACGGAGATGAATATGATTTCAAAACTTCGTATGAGGAAGAAAATTGGACGAAAGTTTCAATTAAAATCAGATCTGGAAAGGGACGAAAAAACATATAATATAAATTCTATTCTTTAAATTTGCTGCACCATCTGTTAAAAAATAATAAATCTACTATTTAATTAATTATTGTATTTACAAAGAAGAATACTTTTTGTTTGTTGTTAGCCTATTTCATAATGTTGTTGAAACTGATTCTGTATGATAAGTGAACTTTGAGTTAAGTTAAAGTACTTAATTATTTGAATCGCTTACCCTCCGACTTTGTAATGCTTAAAAATAGCATTATAATGTGTCAATAATAAGAAATAATTTTTTATTTAATGTCAAATGAAAGTTTTCTGTGATTACTGTGCCATGATTATGATAAGTAAGGCAAACTTAGCTATTACGGTTAGTGAAAAACCTAAAATTTTCTTTAATTAGTTAACAAGTTGTTAAGTAACATAAATATGGTCAAATAAATAGTAAAATTCACTATTTTCGTGTTTTATTTACAAAAATACTATAATCATATATAATATATAATAATAAATCATATATAATACTATAATTGTCACAAGTTATTGAAGTGACATCATTTAGTGCAAGAACGCCACAAATGTGGGTCTTGTTGCAGTTTTTTGCATTTATTTAAATATTTTTATAAATATTATGTCAGATTTTTTTAATTTAAATCATATTATACGTAAATATATTATACGAACAAAGTTAAAAAAAAGTTTGCAATCATATATCACACCAAACCTACTAATAAACACAGTTATTACAAACAAAAAAACTTTAATGTGCTCTACTGTAAAATTAAGAAAATGACATTTATGACTTTAAAGAACTAGATGTGCGAAGTGTTCAGAATTCGAGCTTTGCGAATAAGGTTGGATTATTGAGGCCATAAGACGCTTAGAATTAAATATTGTAAAATATAAACCGCTAAGATTTCGTTCATATATACCATTACCTGAAAAAATACGTAATAGAAAATCATGCCTGAATTTACAAAACAATGATAAACACTGCTTTCTTTGGAGTATTTTAGCTCATTTGTATCAAACTACAAGTAATCCTAACAGAGTAAATTCATACCCTCATTAATCAGAAGTTTTAATAACAGATAATAAATATGTTATTTCCTCCAAGTTTTAATGATATTAAATTATTCGAGGAAATTAATCCTAATGTGAGCGTTAATATTTATGGTTTAGATGAAAAAATGTGACCGGACCGCTGTATAAAACTTTAAAAAGAAAGATAAACTTTAAAAAGAAAGAAAAAGAAAGAACGATGGAAGCGAAAGATTTTAAAAATTTACGCAAGTTTTTTGAAGGTAAACATTTATTTAATTTAGGTCGAAATAAAGGTATCTACTGTTATGACCATATAGATTCATGGCAGCGGTATGAAGAAAATTACCAGAGCAATCGAAATTTTTCAATCACCTTACATCTCAATCTGTTTCAGGTGAAGATTAAAGTCATGCATTGAAGTTATGGAATGATTTTAAAATCCATAACTTAGGTGAATACACAGATTTATATTTAAAATGTGACGTATTACTGTTGTGTGATGTTTTTGTAAAATTCCGAGCTATGAGTTTAAAACATTATAGTCTTGACCCATGCTACTACATATGTCTCATCTCCATCGTTAAGTTGGGATGCTGTTTCATACGAAAATACAATTAGATTTACTTTCAGATATTGAAATGTACCAATTTTTAGAAAAAGGAATTCGCGGTGGACTTGCTCAATGTTCTCTAAGATATGCAAAAGCAAACAATAAATACATGTCCTATTATGACAGCAAGGATAAAAACAATTTTTTAGTTTATCTTGATTGTGTAAATTTATATGGTTTTGCTATGATGCAAAAGTTACCAACGGGGAACTTTAAATTTCTAAGTGAAAAAGAAATTAATGAATTTGATGTAATGAGTGTTCCTAATGATTGTGATATTGGGTATATTCTTGAAGTAGACTTGCACTATCCAATTGAAATACATGATGATTTACCATATGCGGCAGAAAAGTTTGCTCAGCCAGGAAGCAAACATAAAAAATTAATAGCTAGTTTGTACGATAAATGTAAATATGTTATTCATTATCAGCATTTAAAAAATTGTTTCTATTTTTGGAAAGACAATAGAGAATAAACGAAAACCAGTCGATGTAAAATTGGTTAATGTATGGAAAGATACATTCAAGAAGACTAATAGACTATGTGGAGCTGAAAAATATGTAAGTGCTCCTAATTTTAAGAAATTGACAATAATTTCAGATTCGTTAGTAGCAATCCAGTTAGAACTAACAAAAGTTATCCTTGATCGCCCAATTTACATTGGGTTTTCAGTTCTGGATTTAGCTAAGAGTCATTTATATCATTTTCATTACTCTATAATGAAACGCATGTATAAAAATTCGCTGCAACTCTTATACTGATATTGATAGTCTGCTGTATCTAATAAATACAAATGATTTTTATGAAGACATGAAAATAAGAGAAAACATGAGAAAAAGAAAATATTTTGATACAAGTAATTTCAAAAACGATCAGTGAGATATGCCCAAAGTAAATTGTAAAATTCCAGGGTTTTTCAAAGACGAAATGGGTGGTGATATAATAACTGAATTTGTTGGATTAAGAGCGAAATTATATTGTATTGATTCTAAAACAACCTCAATAAGGAAAGCTAAGGGTATTAAAAATCTGTTACTAAAAATCTTAATATTGAAAAGTATAAACGAGCGTTATGGTCTAATGAAAACTTAAGAAGGAGTATGTGTATAATTAGATCAAAGAATCATCAAACATTTACTCAAAAAGTTGATAAACTTGTACTTAATAGATATGATGACTAAAGGCAAATTATGGCAGATGGCTACAAAACGTTACCATGGGGACACTATAAAACTATATTTTAATAAATTTGAATGTAAAACTATGTAATGCTACTACTATGTAGTATAAGTTAGTAAGAGATAAATGTATAGCTTAAATTACATGTATTATCATGTTTATAACTTTATATAAATTTAAAATAAAAAATATTTAGTTTTAATAAATACATTCGTTGTAACAATAAATGTCTTTTCTTTTTTCCTCTACAGAATTGAATAATAATAATTCACAATTAAACAACAATAAAATTCAAAGTATAACTTTAATTATATTTTACAAGCTATATTACTTTAATTACTAGTACTCATATAATTTTTCACCTATTTTTTTGTAAGACAATTTGTAGCATCTAACACCGTCATTCATCACTGAATCCACAACATATTGAACTTATATTAGCACTAATACCGGGGATAACATTTTCTTCTTGCTCGTTAAGTTCGCAAATGCTGGTTTTAATCAGACGATGACCTCCCTTATTTTTATCTCGGCGGATAATATATGATGATGATGATTCTTGAGAACGGTTGCTCTTCCTGTAACATTTCTTTGATTTCGATTGCCGCTCTTCATTAATAGCTATTCCATTTGGTGGTAAATCGTGAAGCTGCTCCTTTCGGTTGCAATAATTTAGTATAAATTTATCCACGTCCTATGCATAGTAATACGGATTAGTGATTAATCATGAAGATGCGGCAATACCAGCAGTATCTCACAAACGCTCTGAATATAATGCTCAATAACTCAACTGGAAGTGGAAGTACACTTATTCCCGCAGGATAGAACTGAGTATGTAGACGCTAATTTGGTTAAACTAAAAATTTTGTACCTCTACTGGAGATAATTGGGGTCTTCAGCAGCATGTAGCACGAGCGATGCGAGAGCAAGTGACGCAGAAGCCCAAATTCACACCTACTGACAATGTGTCTTTGATTCAATTAAAGGCCAGTTTCTCCAAACCATCTAGCGACAACCATCGAACAGCAATCGGCAATATGCTGATCTGACAAGCCTCATTGTTTCACTAAGATGATCGGCGGAATGGCATGATGATTTTTAATTGTTCTTGCGTCTTTTAGTAGTATTTCATTAGAATAGTTGACTTTTATTGTTGTTAAAACTTTATTTTGTATTTTAATTGAACTGTGCGGTGTGTGTAATCGCTTTTAATCATTTTTAAACATTTTTAATTGTTAAAAACACGTGTTAGGTTAGGTTAGACCACGCGGTTACCGCGTGGTAGCTTTAGGTTAAGTAGACTTATTCCATTGCTGTGTGTATTATTCTGTGTTCGTTTGGATTTTTAACTGTAAGTACTTTCATTATATTTAGTGTTAATTTAAATAATAAAAACAGATCTAGAATATAGGTTAGATTGTGCCGGTGTTGTTTGACACTGACAGCTGTTACTGTAAAAGACACTGACAGTGACATTGGCAGCTGTCATTGTGGTTGACACTTCCATAGACAGTGACGTTGACAGGGTGACCTGTCATAGTTTTTGATAGGTCGCGTTCCAATTTTACATTATATAGTGGAATTTTTCTTTAATTAAAATGGCGGATGACGATGAGGGATTTACGCCAAGGAAGTCTTTGGCTAGGACCCCGCCGGGACCAATCGGCCGGCCGGTTGCGGTGCCCCCCCCACCGCCAGTAGTGCCGGAGAAGCGGCCACTGGCTTCGCCGGAAGAAATGCAGACATCTTCCCAGCGACCAAGGGTGGGCAAGCGCACTGAGTCGCGCCGTAGTGTGGCACCGGTAGCAGGGCTTCTAACAAAGAATGTTGAGGAGTCTGCTCCTGAAACAGAAGAAGAGGAC